TAATCACCATTTGTTGCAGCCATGTTTTTATTTTTGAAATCTTTTAAACATCACGACAATGGAAGCAACCCTCTTAAAATGAAGCGAAATAATCATATATTTAGATTTCAGGATATAAGCAAATAATAAATACTAAACAAAAGAGAAGAAAACAACCTGGTAGAAGCGATGGTAAGAAGTTTAAGATCACAATGCTCCATGAACATCACAAGCCTCATTATGTGGTTTCATTATAAATTTCTTGATCCAAGTGACTTCCTCACTTAGAGACTTTATCCAGATACAAGCAGTATACACATCTTCATTGTGAGATGAAAATGAGTGAGACGTTATATTTTAGCAATATATATAGCCATAGGAAATTCAAAATGAGTGAGAAGTTATAACCACATTTACAACAATTTTTGGGACAATATTTTTAGTCCGTAATTGTGACAATTTTGTCACTAGTATGTCTCCTCACCGTTTGTGATATAATGTTTACTAAATAATTTCGTCACAAATGTTGTAACATTTTTGTTATAAAAAAATATTTGTGACGACTTTATTGTTACTGTATACAAATTGTAACACATTTGTCACAATATTTTTATTGTTACGAAATTTCTTTTATTGTGATGTTATATATTGTCACCATATAACATTTTAAAAAAAAATCTTGGAAGGATTATTCAATTGGACTTAGTTGAAGAAACTTGTGGAGTATTATTCAACTGTCTTCATTTTTTGATATATCCTAGGTGTCGAACTAAGTATTAAGGAGGAGAACTTCTTAGGATCGAGGCATAGTATATGGAGACATTGCTTTAAGTGTTTCTTATTGAAATTGTTTATCAAAGAGCTGAAAATTTGTTAACCAAAATCGTTGACTTTCTGAAACTTTAATGGCTTGATCAGATTCAACATTATTATATTGTTGTATCTTTGCGAAGACCCAACTTTGATTTCCATTAACATTTTTAAACTGCAAAAGCGTTTCTTTTATTGATCCAAAGAAGATCATGAAGATCTGGAGAAATAATCGCTTGCTCTATATAAACCAAACCAAACGAATCATATTCTTCAAAACAAACAAATTTATCAAAGGCTTATTATGGAAACCAAAAACAAAAAAGCGATAACACCAAAGAAGATCATAAAATATCAATTCGATGGCAGGATTTCATCTTCACNATATGATCCAAATTCTACTTATTATTTATCATCAAGCTCTTCTGCCAGTGTCTCGACATGTAATGAATTAGCATAACAACTGGATAATCATTTTCATGTTGCATTGTAGTGAAATCCAAATTTTGGTTGAGCAATACTTCTCTTGGCCGTATCACGATTGTTTCTTTCATTGTTGGTCTTTTCTCTAAGTCATTCGTGGATACGGAACATAATATACTTGATCAGCTTGCGAAGCCATAATAAAAGAATCATGTTTCCTATGATGCTTTCCAACATTAACATCAATAATCCGTGACTTGTTTTACTCGTATACCCTTTCCAGTGGTTGATTCATACCAATAGGCAATCACATTTGAAAAGTACAACTTAAGAGAATGATAATCTCCTCAAGTTGGATTATCAACGGTGGCTTTATAAATACTACCAAACCCACATTCTCCAATCTTAAGTTTTCAGAAAAAGATACGATTATTTGTATGAAGAAACCTTAAAGTGGGATTTGGAACATATGAGTCACAAACAGTGGAAGAGTAGATGGGTGTGAACACAAGAGAAAAGAAAGAGATGAGAAAACGAGAAATAAAATATATATACATATAGAGAGAGGGAGAAGTAAATGACATAAAATTTTCATCTATAGACGAACAAGTTTAAAGAACTCAAAATGAAAAAAGAAAAAAGAAATTAAGATATAGAGCTTTTGATCAAGAAGAAGAAGAGAAAGGCTAAAACCAAAAACGAAGAAGTAAAAGACAAAACTATGGACATGGAAAAGTAAAAGAAATAGTTTTATAGTCAGGTTTCTCTTTGAAGTGCGGTAAAAAAAATTAGGGAATGATAATTCCAATTGCGTATGTTTCAATTCAAAATTCAGAAAAGTAAGTATGGTAGTAGTTCTGATTAGAAACTTGTTTAGTCTAAGCTAATGAACTATGTGAATAGAAAGCGTGTGATAATAGTCAAGTCAATACTCTATATATAACATGAGATGTATTGTTTGTCACCAAAATGTTTAAAATTTTTGACGTAGTTTTAGTAGCCATTCCATAAAAAAAATACGATGAGATAAAACGTTAGTTCAATAGTCATAAGTTGTACCAAAGTTAATACACATTTTTGTTATAAATTATAAAGATAACTTTTTGTCAATGATAAGTATCATATAGGGACTTATTTCTAATAACAATATTGTCACAAACCGATATTTGTGACTTTATCATGAATTCGTTAAATATAGTGACAACACATATGGTAATAACTTCGTCATAGTTGTCACAATTGTATTTTTGTCACAATTTAGTCATTAATTCCCACAAATATTGACTGACTAGGATTTTGTCTGTCATATTATTGTGACGAAACAACTATGAATTTCAGACACAAATACTTGGTCACGATACAGTATCTAAAATATCACAGGTTTCTGATGAAAACTGTTAGTCTCAAAATTTTGTCACAGTAACTCAATTTTTTTGTAGTGGCCCTTAACATCATTGGAATACCTTCATTTACAACAATCAAGTTAAATATCAACTTTCATTGTTGATCTGACCAACCATCACTACAGATGCTAACTCCTTTTTGTTTTCTTGAATCCTTCTAAAGCAACAAGTGCATTTCGATGTTCTTCCTTTCCTTATGAAGAAGAGTAGTACCCTTAAAGTATTATAGCCGGGGGAACATATGGAATCTATGATGCTCGTACATATGAGTTACAATAATGAGAATTTCTTGCAGCGTTAAAAGATAACCCACTTGTGTAGAATATTCTACCATCTCATTGCTCCGTAGTCATCTTGTTAAAATATTTTTCCAAAGGTGAATCCATTCCCTTTCTCTTCTTTGGATCATATTCTTTTGCATTCGGAACACGATATTGTAATCAATAGAAGAGTTAAATGCTTTCTTTGATTATGAGGGCAATGAGACTACTTTAGGACCTCCCTGTTTTATCCTCTCCTTACACTCATCAACTAATTTGCTCATGTTCTACTTTGTTGAGTAGTAACCTTCATGCATTCTTTAATTATTTTAGCCCCATTTCTTAGAAAATGATTTGTAATTCTACTGTAGGATCCAGCATATTTATTGTTGCAAAATTTGCACTCAACCTCTATGATCCTCCTCCTTTAGATGTATTCATAATTCTGGAGACAAACAAATATATTATAATAAATCATAGAACATAAAACTTCAGAATTATAAACCTTCATAGTCAAAATCGAATAAGTCAATCTATAAATAAAACCCCACGATATACAACTTGCAACAGTGGAAAAAGATGTGCATATTATTTTAGCAATAGCAATAGTCACGTTTATGAGAATTTAAAATCATTAGCTTTCATATTGAGAATCAAATATGTCAAACAATTAATAAACAAATAGACTCTAATTGGTAAAAAAAATTATATATATTATAAAAATTGGGTTTGGTGTCTTTGGTTGCTTGAGACGTATCTTTTATTTTCTTTTTCGTAGAAGAAAAAAGTTAAATGAATCAGTAAAAAATACAAATTATTAAGTACAATGAATATGTTTAATCCCATTCTTCCATTCTAAAAGATACGTATATTTAGTCTTTTTCTTCTTTTCATATTGCTTCATACAAAAAATTTAACTACATCATCAACGCCTATATAATGTTCCACCCTTATTATAGAAGCAGAGAAAACTAAGTTGAAGCATTTGCTTTTTAAAAAGAAGACATTAGGAAAAGTTATTACAAGAAAAAAGAGAAATGACTGCATATGAAATATGAATATTGTCAAGTATTATTGAAGAATATCTGAAGATAGGTATTTTTTATTGAGAAATTTCAAAAAATGCCACTTTTCAAGTGCCACTTTACAAAAATGCCACACTTTTGAAATTTTTACAAAAATGCCACTTTTTCAAAAAAATTTTTTCTTTATATTATTTATGTTTGGGTTAATTATGTTCTATTAGGATTTAGTTTTGAGTGTTTAGGGGGTTTTAGGTGTCAAAAC